AGTGACACCACTCACTGTTAACCCTAGTGACCCACTCTCAAAATTTCTGCTTCCACCTCCATTGACTTTAAGCTTTACTGGCCTACAGGTCTTAGTCACAGAGGAATGAATGCTTCCAACTAGAGACATAGTGATAATTCTATACGATTGGAAGTTTAGACTTTTACCCAGCCATTTTGAGCTCCTCATGCTACTGAATCAATAGACAAAGCAGGAAGTTATCATAATTGATCCTGAATTTCCAGGAAAAATTGGGCGATTACTTCACAATACAATGAAGAATAAGTCCAGAATACGAGACATCCCTTAGGGAATTTCTTATTAATGGAAAATTGTAATAGCCCAAACTAACCAGAACTGCTAATTGCCTAAACTCTTCAGGAATAAAGATTTGGGTTGCTTCACAAGGAAGAAACCTATGAGCAGCTAAGATGCTTGCTAAAGACAAAGGGAATACAGTATGGATAGAAGACAGTTATAAATAGCAGCTATAATCATGTGGCCAGTTACAGAAATGAGGTCTAATTGTAATGAGAATTCCAACCTTATTTTATTATAAATATGTGTACATATTTATTAAGTAAAGATACTTTATTCCCTCTTTTATTCCCTTATTATGTAAATAAAATATGTGAACTTTATATCAATATTTAAATGTTGTTAATTTTACATTACAAACTTTTACTCTAAGAACAGCAGGAGAAGAGTCAATATCACTTAAAGAATATATTTCCTCTTTGGAATAAGGGATTAATGAGTTATTATTTATATGCAGGATAGTTGTGTCATGTAAAGCATAACTATGACCTTATTATTGTCTATGTTTAGAGACTAAGTGTGGTTTAAGTACATGCGTATGTTTGCCAAATTGACAAAGGATGGAGTACTGATGGTTAAGGTGTTGACTTAACAAGGCTATATGATGTCCTGATAGCTGGTAAACATTATTTCTGGGTGTCCCTGTGAGGATGCTCCTGGAAGAGGGAGAATTGGTAGGCAGAGTAAATGATCATCCTCACCAATATAGGTGGGTATCACTGCAATCACTTGAGACCTTTAATAGAACAAAAAGAGAAAGGGTGAGTTCACTCCCTGCTTAAGCTAGGACATCCTTCGTTTCCTGCCATCAGACATTGACATCCCAGATTCTAGAGCCTTGGAAATCAGACTGTGATCTACACCCTTGGCTCCCCTAGCTCCCAGTATTTCAAATTTTAACTGAAACTACACAACCAGCTTTCCTGGAGTTTAAAGACAGCAAATTACAGAAATCCTCAGCCTATATAATTGCATAAAACCATTTCTCATAATAAATCTCTATCTAGCCATGTATCTATCTATCAATTATCTAAACAGCTTCTCTTCGTTCTGTTTCTCTGAAGAACTCTGATATACTAGTGAATACAAATTGTCTTCTACAGCGAATGGACAGCCTCAAAACATTTTGCTATGCTCTTACGTGCTTTAGAGATTATCAACAAATTGCCTTCCATCTCCCCAGGGAGAGTCTCAAAAGATTAAGAAATGGATAAATTGTTCTCACTGTGCCATGTCAGAGACACATGGAGGAGTCAAGAGAGAGGCTTCATTACAGGTAAAAAAAAAAAAAAAAAAAAAAAAAGTAAGAATGTTTCTTGTGGTGCCATATATTACAGATATATACAATGCTTCAGTGACATTGGCAAGCTGCCACTTTAACTTGATGACATAACCATAGTAAAGTGTGACAATCTCTGATTCATTTCTCTAGGACGGGCGTCCCCAAACTACGGCCCGCAGGCCACATGCGGCCCCCTGAGGCCATCTATCCGGCCCCTCGCCGCACTTCAGGAAGGGGCACCTCTTTCATTGGTGGTCAGTGACAGGAGCACAGTATGTGGCGGCCCTCCAACGGTCTGAGGGACAGTGAACTGGCCCCCTGTGTAAAAAGTTTGGGGACGCCTGTCCTAGGATTCCTTTTACTCAATAATGCCTGAGCTGAAATAACAGTGCTCCATTTTTTCATATAGTTTTGTAAGTATTTTACATGGTGTAACAGGCTGACTGCTCATGAGCATCTTTGAAGCACCAATTTACATGGTTTAACAGGCTGAATGCTCATAAGCATCTTTGAAGCACCATCACGATATTGTTTGTAAAGTATTTATTTTACATAAAATATTTTTCTCTAATTGAGGCCAAAACTTGGAGAAAACAAAGCGCAACTACAGGAGATGAATATATTTTTAATGAAGGAATGAAGAAACTGCAACTATTCAGTCACTCATGTTCATGTTCTTCCAAATACTTGTTATTCAGATGCTCTAGGCTCTTAGATTCCTTAACAATGATTTAACACTCAATGATTATTTAAATACATGTGTAGATATGATTCATCACTTCTTGATGAGACAAAAAGGAGGTTTCTACCTTACATTAGAATATGAAAAGAATTATTAAACTTACGAGGCTTTTTGAGTAAATGTTTGCACAGAAAAAAAACATTTAAAACTGTAAGAAAATAAAATTAGGAGACTGTTAAGTACCCAGTTTTATGGCACAACACAATTTTCAGAATGTACTTCAATTTCCACTAAGAGGTGACAAAAGCAGATATTATTTTCTTAAAGATTGTAGCTTTAAAAAATATATTTGATATTCAACAAAGATACCAAAATAGAAAAAAAGCAATCTGGTTCTTTCTAGAGAACTCCAAAGATGAAAAGAAGCTCATTTATATTTCCTTACCTAACAAGAAAATAGGGGCTTAAAAATGATGATATTATTTTTCTACCTTTCTAGATTGCCAAACTGTACAAAACAAGCAAACAAAATACAAGATTTATGCTGCTTATCATTGTATTTACTAAAGATATTTATGTAACATTTCTATCTACTGGCAAACATTAGCATGAATGTAATATAAGAAAGGTGTGTTCATTGAGTCAGGGTAGGATAGAAGGAGGTCACAATTTTATTTTAAAAAATCAATTTAAGTTCATATTATATGTAATCTTCTTTATATTTAATGTGACAAAATTGCATGTGTCTATTTTTCATTGCTAACTCTGAGATTGCTGTCATGATTTTCATTGTAAACACTATTTTCTTTCTTCCTTTTTTTTCAGGGAACATTAGGGCTTGCAATTTTTTTAACCAATAATAAATATCTTACATTATCATGCCTTCCATCTCATGCTCTAGTATGCTTTAAATCTGTGAGTTATTGGGGATATTTAGATATATATTTATTTGATTATATATATGTTTATTTGCATTATGTATTATACTCTAGTTTCTAGTTTCTGTAACCAGCATGTCCAGAAGGATTTCAAATCACAACTAGAAATCCATGTATAGCTCATGTTTTGTGTATTTATTTTGTCTCTATGTTATTGTGTAATAAAATGACTTTTAATCATTTCTTTTCACTAATCTATAGTATCCCTTTATCCAAAAAGAGCTTTTACTAATTTTTATTATACAAAACCAATTTGAGGGCCATATTATCTCCCAATTTGTTCAGATGTCCTCAAAATCCCTTAATATTTTGTATGATAAAATAAAATTGAAGTTTACATTCAAGAGAGTATTTCTCAGTAATAAGGAGAATAAAACTATGGGAAGATTAATGTTTTAATAAAGTTTATGTCAAAATAATTTATTTAAAATATTATTAAAATTGTGAAAAAATAGAAAAGTAATCCACAAAAATAGCATACCAATTGCCCAAGTTCAGTGTTGAATTGGGGGACTGGAGAAGAACTGGCCAAAATTGCAAGTATTACATTCTACTTGACCTGTAACCCACCTAGGCATCGTTATGATCCTAGTGAAGAAGTTAATTCACAGTCATAATTTATATGTAAATATGTAAACAAACCTCTTTCAAGTAAGGCACTCTCACAATCAAAACAAATAACAATAAGAATAAAACTCACAATGTGCTTGATATTTTAGAAGTACTCCTAGGCAGCACAGACACATCGAATCACTTAACCTTCACTCATCCTTTCTAACAATTCTGCAGTGACATGTTGGTTCTGGATGTAAGAACAAATAGTTTAAATAACTTACGCTATTTGCCTAAAGTAAATTTTCAAACATGATGTAAATTAAGATACAGTGTAGGATATATCTATATCCATATATTTCCTGATATTTTTAAATACAAATCATTGCCACTGTTATCTGTTATGCTGCTTTTATTCATATGCCTAAGATTTCTCAAATATATTAGTCTCAGCTGTACCATCCAAAGAGTTTTCACTGGATGACGTTTTAAAGTCTGTTGTTTTATGCACTTTTGAAATTTTTGACAGAAATTTTTTATGTAACTAAAATTATGTGTCATAATAGTAATTGTAATCTATAAATATGAGCAATCTCTAAAAACATAGTACAAGAATTGTTCAGATATCAAATATCCACTGTATTAATGTTTTTAACTTTAAAAATTTTCTTTATATATCTATTCAGACATGAATATCTATCTGTATCCCTTTCTCTCTCTCTCATATGAATCCATATGATCATCCATAATCTATCTATCTATCTATCTATCTATCTATCTATCTATCTATCTATCATCTATTCATGTATGTGATCAGAGTTTCTCAACCTTAGCACTATTGATATTTGGGGCTGATTATTTGAATGGGCTCAGTATTAATTATAGTAGAATGTTTAGCAGGTTACTGGCTTCTAACAATTAGATGCAACAGTAACCCACTTCCAAATTGTTAAAGAGAAAATGTCTCTAAACGTTGCAAAATGTCATTGGATGAGTAAAATCAAAACCAAATGAAAACTGCAGATCTGTCTTATCTCTAGCTTGAATTATATTTAAGTGTGTTTTTATTTGTGAGAGATATGTTTGTTTTCAAATGTTGCAAATTATGAAATTTATATATATATCTTATGTTACTTTTGCATACTAAAACATTTCTCAGGAGATAATAAAGAAAATATACTGAGTATGTTGATGTCTCTATCCAGAATAGATTTTCTAATGAACCTGGATGGAAAACCACAATCTAACAGTGGTGAATGAATTCATTCTCATGGGAATCACGGATATTCCTGAGCTGCAGGCTTCATTATTTGCATTGTTCCTCATGACCTATGTGATCTCAGTGATGGGCAATTTGGGGATAATCATCCTCACCAAGTTGGACTCCAGGCTGCAAAATCCTATGTACTTTTTTCTCAGGCACCTGGCACTCACTGATCTTGGTTATTCAACAGCTGTGGGACCCAAAATGTTAGTAAATTTTATTGTGGATAAGAATACAATATCTTATTATTTTTGTGCAACACAGCTGGCTTTCTTTCTTGTGTTCATTGGTAATGAACTTTTTATTCTCTCAGCAATGTCATTTGACCGCTATGTGGCCATCTGTAACCCTCTGCTATATATGGTAATCATGTCAGAAAGGATATGTCAGGTGCTGGTGGCAATCCCTTATCTCTACTGCACATTCATTTCTCTCCTAGTCACCTTAAAGATTTTTACTTTATCCTTCTGTGGCTACAATGTCATTAGTCATTTCTTCTGCGACTGTCTCCCTTTGTTACGTTTACTATGCTCCAGTACTCATGAGGTTGAATTGATAATTTCAATCTTTGCAGCTTTTGATTTGATTTCATCTCTTCTGATAGTTCTTGTGTCTTACCTGCTCATCCTTGCAGCCATTCTCAGGATGAATTCTGCTGAGGGCAGACACAAGGCTTTTTCCACCTGTGGAGCCCACCTGACGGTGGTCCTAGTGTTCTATGGGACTTTGCTTTTCATGTACGTGCAGCCCAAGTCTAGTCAATCCTCTGACACTGATAAAGTGGCCTCCATATTTTACACCCTGGTTATCCCCATGTTGAATCCCTTAATCTACAGTTTAAGAAACAAAGATGTAAAATATGCTCTACAAAGAACATGGAAAAACTTATGTAATATTTTTCTTTAAATTTTGCACAATATGATTCCTATAAATTAGGTTATCAGCATCAATTTTTTCTCTTTATAACTCCAGAAGACATAACAAGCATAACTGATTCAATAGGTATTTACATATGTCTAAAACATGATAGACTCTTCTAATTGCTATACACAGATTAGTGGAAAAAAAAAAAACAGTAGAAATCTTTGCCTTCCTTGATGGACCAATTAATTATATTCACACTAAGCCCATTTTATATAACAGTAGAATGTGCAAGATGGATACAGACAAAGAAAAATGGAAGACAAGGAAAGCTAGTATGCTGGGTGGGAGTAGGAAACAGTAGTCATTACAGAGGGGAATGGCAAGGATTCTAGTGTGTTTATTAAGTATTGTAATAAATTTGCAGTGTGTGTGTTTCTGTATGTTTCTTTTAATGTATTTTTGTATATAATCATTTTCCATCTGTTTTAGCCTTTATACTTATTGCTTGTGTATTTTGACATTGCATTTAATACCGGTCATTTATATGATATGTGATAATTTCATGTCTTATAAATGTGCTTGAATAATAACTATTCCAAACATTAGGATCCCCCTTTTCCTTATCAATGCCTTTATTTCCACATATGTCTGTTAATTGAACATATTTTGTAGCTCAATAATCTGATTAGCACCTGATATTGTTTCAGTCAGCCAATTCTGTGTACATGAGTGGATACATCAATTATAATAAAGTTTAGAAGACAACCATAGAAACTCTCGGGTTTATACATTTCCTCTAGTTGTCCTTGCCTTTTTTCATGGATTTCCCCCTTTTTATCTAAAAAAAGCAATAATCTGTGGTCAAAATTTATGTTCCAGTTGTTTTTACATCTTTGGGTAAGAGAACCATTCTATGATGGATTAACTTTATAGTCTCTTTCTCATTGAGTTGACAATTCATAATTTTTATCAATATGCAGTATATCAAATGCACTATATTTTCGTTGACTTCACTGTTTAATTCCATCAGTTGATTGTTCCATCTTCACAAAGCAAATAAAAGTAATAAAACACGCTATACCATACTATATTTATCTGCTGGCTGTTATAGATGCCCTTGGACAGCTACAGACCTTCAACATGCAAGTGAGGTGTGATCTGTATGTAATGATGTCATTATCTTGCCTTTTGAACATGGTTACTTTCATTAACTTTCTTATGTATTTTGATTTCCTTTACTCTTTTTAGTACTCCTAAGATTTTACTGAAAGCGTCAGTGTCTACAATATTTCCTTAGTTCACCATCATAAAATAAAATCCCATGTGCAGCCAAAGAAACTTGAATCAATGCATAGTACATTGTCATGTGGTTATTAATACTACCATATTGTTGTTGTACTGAAAATGAATTTTCAGGATGGTCATAGAAATTACCAGGTAATAATATCTCACACTTACTGAGTACTATATTTTAGGGATTTTTATGTCTCAATTAATTTAGCCATCATAACAGCTCTGTGAGTTAGGTTCTACACCTCATATTCTCACTCATAGGCAGGTGTTGAACAAATGAGAACACATGGACACAGGGAGGGGAGCATCACACACTAAGGTCTGTTGGGGGGAACTAGGGGAGGAACAGCAGGAGGTGGGGCGTTGGGGAGAGATAACATGGGGAGAAATGACAGATATAGATGATGGGGAGGAAGGCAGCAAACCACATTGCCATGTATGTGCCTATGCAACAATCTTGGATGTTCTTCACATGTACCCGAAAACCTAAAATGCAATTATATATATATATATAATTCCATATTTCAGATGACAAAGTAGAGCCTAGATATAGCAAGTAAGTTGTCAGAGATTAACAAGGTAATAAGTATTAGAATCAGGTCTTGTATTTTTGTTTGTTTGCTTGCTTTAAGAGATAGAATCTCCCTTTGCTGGTCAGGCTGGAGTGCAGTAGAATAGCTATAACTCACTGCAACCTCAAATTCCTGCACTCAAGCAGTCCTCTCATCTCAGCCTCCTAAATAGCTGGGACAACAGCCACGAGCCACCAATGCCCAGCCTATTTTTTTATTTGTCATAGAGATGGTGTTTCACTATGCTGACCAGGCTGGTGCCAAACTCCTGAGCTCAAATTAATCCTCCCACCTCAGCCTCCCAAAGTGCTGAGACTACAGGCTGAGCCACCATGCCTTTCTCTGTATTCTCTCTCTCTCTCTCTCTTTATTTTTTTTTAAGACAGTCTCCTGCTCTGTATGGACCCAGGCTGGAGTACAGTGGTGTGATCTTGGCTCACTGCAACCTTCACCTCCCAGGCTTAAGCAATTTTTGTGCCTCAACCTCCCAAGTAGCTGGGACTACATGCGTGTGCCACCAAGCCCAGCTAATTTTGTATTTTTAGAAAAGGCAGGGTTTCACCATGTTGGTCAGCCTGGGCTTGAACTCCCTAGTCTCAAGTGATTCAAGTGCCTCAGATTCCAAATTGCTGGGATTAAGGGTGTAGGCCACTGCGTCCAGCCCTATTTTGTGTCTTAATGTCGTTTGTATGCTTCACTAATGTAACCCTGAGTTGCAAGAGAGAAAAACTTCACTTTGACAGGTTTGGTATTAGAAGAGAAGAGCAGAGGGGTCAATTATAGAAGGAGTACATGTTGGGGACCCAGTGTAACACATGGTGATTGCAGTTTATGATGCCAAATTTTGTACTTGAAATTTGATGGAAGAGCAGATTCCAAGTGTCTTCACCACACACACACACACACACACACACACACACACACACACACGGTGAACCATGGGTGGTAACAGATGTACTAATTAATGTTATTTTAGTACTCATTAAAGAATGTATACATATATAAAATTATCACACTGTGCACCTCAAAAATGTACATTTTTGTCAATGAAATATTTTCAAATAAGAAAATAAATAAAAGTAGTGGACTATGTGACACATATGAAATTAATTTATAAAACACATAATCAAAAAGAAAATTGATTCAGAAATGTAAACTTATCAGTCCATTTTGACATTTTGAAAGAGTATCTATGCTCAAGTAGAAAGCCATCAAAAAGTAAAGTTTGAGTAGAGTTATAATAAATTACAGAGGAAGAGGATAGCAGAAATTAGCATTAAGTATTCAGTAATATGCTGAAGAAAAAGAAATAGGCAGATTATCTGTATTTGTATGCTAATAAGTTCAACTGTCTTTGAGAAAGAAAGATTGAGGTTGGTTTTTTAATAGGGAAAAGTATCTCCTGAGAAAAGATGAGGAAGATGACAATTTGGTAAATCCTTGGACTCCCTGGACACAGCAAATAAAGAAATTGAAGTTGCGATATGGTTTGGTTCTGTGTCCCCACTCAAATCTCATCCTTAATTGTAATTCCTACATGTCAAGGGAGTAACCTGGTGGGAGGTGATTGGGTCATGGGGGTGGTTCCCCCATCCTGTTCTTATGATAGTGAGTGAGTTCTCAGGAGATATAATGGTTTAAGTAAAAGTGGGGCACTTCACCTGCCCCCCAGTGTCTCTCCTGCTGCCTTGTAAAAAAGGTGATTGCTTCTCCTTTGCTTTCTGCCATGATTGTTTGCTGAGGCTTCCCCAGTAACATGAAACTGTGAGTCAATTAACTTCTTTACTTTATAAATTACTCAGTTTCAGGTAGTTATTTAAAGTAGTTGAAAACAGACTAATACAGAAGATTGGTAGTGAGATAAGTGGAGCATTGCTATAAAGATACTTGAAAATGTGGAAGCAACTTTGGAACTGAGTAATGGAACAGTTTGGAAGCTTTGGAAGAAGACAAGAAGATGTGGGAAAATCTGGAACTTCCTGGAGACTTTTTGAATGATTTTGACCAAAATGGTGATGGAGATATAGATAATGAGGTCCAGTCTTAGGCAGTCTCAGATGGAGATGAGAAAATTTTGGGGAACTGGAGCAAACATCACATTTGCTATGCTTTAGCAAAGAGGCAGGTGGCATTTTACCCCTGCCCTGGAGATCTGTGGAACTTTGAACTTAAGAGAGATACTTTAGTCTATCTGATGGAAGGCATTTCTAAACAGCAATGTATTCAAGATGTGACCAGACATTTTCTAAAATTGTATGCATACATGTGTGAAGAAAGAAACAATCTCAAATTGAAAATTACATTTAAAAGTGTAGCAGAGCACAAAAGTTTGGAAAATTTTCAGCCTGACCTTGCTGTAGAAAAGAAAAATCCATTTTCTGAGGAGAAATTTAAACCTGCTATAAAAATTTGCATAAGTCATGAGGAACCAAATGTTAATAGCCAAGACAATGGGGAAAGTATCTCCAGGATATTTTACAGATCTTCATGGCAGACCCTCTCATCACAGGCCCAGAGGCCTAGGAGGAAAAAAATCATTTCCTGGGCCAGGTCCAGAGCCCCACCACTACTCTGTGCATCCTTGGGACTTGGCATCCTGCATCCCAGCCACTACAGCTTCAGCCATGGCTAAAAGGTGCTGGGGTACAGAACAGGCCATTGCTTCTGAGGGTGCAAATCCCAGGCCTTGGTGGCTTCCACCTGGTGTTGGGCCTATAGGTTTGCAGAGGTCAGAACTTGACAGAGCTTGGCAGCCTTCACCTAGATTTCAGAGGATGTACAGGACCGCCTGGATATCCAGGCAGAATTCTGCTGCAGAGGCAGAGCCCTATTGGAAATCCTCTACTAGGGCAATGAAGAGGGGAAATGTGAAAATGTGAAGTCAGAGCCCCAACACAGAGTCCCCACTGGGGCACTGCCTAGTAGAGCTGTGAGAAGAGGACTACCATTCTCTAGACCAGAATGGTAGATCCACTGACAATTTGCACCATTAACCTGGAAAAGCTTCAGGCACTCAAAGTCAGTCCATGAAAGTAGCTGCAGTGACTGTACCATTTGGAGCCACAGGGGTGGAACTGTCCAAGGCCTTGGGAGCCCACCACATGCATCAGCATTCCCAGGCTATGAGATATTGAGTCAAAGTATATTATTTTGAAGCTTTAAGATATAATGACTTCC